ATTAGCCGACGCAGATCAGAAAAACAGGAAAATACAACAATAAAAACACATCAGTCCAGTGTTAAAATCACTCATATCTAAAGTCCCTCTGTTCCCATACAGGGTCTAGTTTGGCCGCCATTCTGTCTTGTTTTACTTTTTCTAAAACTCTTTCTGTGGAGTTTGGAGGTTGTTCCAGCTGCTGCGACTGGACCCAGATCGGAGAAGTTAATTCCCGACATATTTTTCAGGTTTCAGGTTCTCTCCTGGTTCTTAAACTGGGCTCATTAACTCTAGAGCGCAGCCACATGAAAGTCCAGAGTAAATCAATCCCTGGTCCCAGTGTAGACCAGCATATGTTTCCAGGTCCAACTGAGAGAGACCAGAGAGAGACCAGAGAGACCAGAGAGAGACCAGAGAGAGACCAGAGAGAGACCAGAGAGAGACCAGAGAGAGACCAGAGAGAGACAGAGAGAGACCAGAGAGATCAGAGAGAGACCAGAGAGAGACCAGAGAGAGACCAGAGAGAGACCAGAGAGATCAGAGAGACCAGAGAGATCAGAAAGAGACCAAAGAGAGACCAGAGAGAGAGAGAGAGACCAGGAAGAGATCAGAGAGAGACCAAAGAGAGGGAGACCAACTTTAAGTATAGAGTTGCCTTGTGTATGAATTGTGCTATACAAATAAACTTGCCTTGCCTTAGAGTGATTGTTTGCTTATCCATCAGTCACCGTGGAATCTTAATCTCAATCTCAAAACTACATTATTCTGTAAAATAATCTGAATGTCTTTCATAACATGTGACATGATTCAGAAAAGCTGCAGTATTTAAAGGTATAAAGGAGGATTTTCCCATATTTTAGGAAAGAACCGCCCTTTCTACTTTTTGAACAAAACTCTCTGCTCTTATAGGACAAGGACGTATAAACAGAATGATTGACATTTGGGAGGACCAATAGTGTTGATGATCCACCCGGAAGTAGAAAATCCTCTTGTATACCTTTAAGGACCTCATGTTGGAGAGGTCCCGACTCACTGAGGCTTTCATTAGACCTAGACCTGCTTCTATGTGTTCATTTCTGTGATTTATCCTCCTTTCATTTGGCAGCTGGCTAACATGGACCAGACCAGAGCCGTGGCCCGGAGGTAAGAGGATCTGGCCGGACTTTGGGGAAGGAAAACAAAAAAGAAAAATATTTTATGGCGTTTTACTGAGTTGGCGGTTTTAAGGGCCACCTGTTGTGAAGTCTGTACATGTAACACAGACTGTATACAGACGCTAATGCTAACACAGACTGTATACAGACGCTAATGCTAACACAGACTGTATACAGACGCTAATGCTAACACAGACTGTATACAGACGCTAATGCTAACACAGACTGTATACAGACGCTAATGCTAACACAGACTGTATACAGATGCTAATGCTAACACAGACTGTATACAGATGCTAATGCTAACACAGACTGTATACAGACGCTAATGCTAACACAGACTGTATACAGACGCTAATGCTAACACAGACTGTATACAGATGCTAATGCTAACACAGACTGTATACAGACGCTAATGCTAACACAGACTGTATACAGACGCTAATGCTAACACAGACTGTATACAGATGCTAATGCTAACACAGACTGTATACAGATGCTAATGCTAACACAGACTGTATACAGACGCTAATGCTAACACAGACTGTATACAGACGCTAATGCTAACACAGACTGTATACAGATGCTAATGCTAACACAGACTGTATACAGATGGACAATGCTAACACAGACTGTATACAGACGCTAATGCTAACACAGACTGTATACAGATGCTAATGCTAACACAGACTGTATACAGATGCTAATGCTAACACAGACTGTATACAGACGCTAATGCTAACACAGACTGTTTACAGACGCTAATGCTAACACAGACTGTATACAGATGCTAATGCTAACACAGACTGTATACAGACGCTAATGCTAACACAGACTGTATACAGATGCTAATGCTAACACAGACTGTATACAGATGCTAATGCTAACACAGACTGTATACAGACGCTAATGCTAACACAGACTGTATACAGACGCTAATGCTAACACAGACTGTATACAGACGCTAATGCTAACATGGGCTGTATACAGATGCTAATGCTAACATGGGCTGTATACAGATGCTAATGCTAACACAGACTGTATACAGACGCTAATGCTAACATGGGCTGTATACAGATGCTAATGCTAACACAGACTGTATACAGATGGACAATGCTAACAGGCTAGCTAGAGGCTACAGCCCATGGTGCACCGGGCTCTCTTTGGCTCCTATTGACAGGCCAGAAACAGACCACAGAGAGAGACCGGAGAGACAGATACCAGGGAGAGATCAGAGAGAGAGACCAAAGGCAGATATTGAACAGAGGCCACAGAGAGAGAGAGACCACAAAAAGACCAGAGAGACCAGAGAGAGAGACCACAGAAATACTTGAGACCAGAGAGAGAGAGAGACCAGAAAAAGACCAGAGAGAGACCAGAAAGAGAACATAGAGACAGACCAGAGACAGAGATCAAAGAGAGACATGTGAGAGAAACCCAACCGAAATTGGCCCCTGTTTTGAGAAGAGGGAGCTAACTTGCTAGGTTGGCTGCTAACATTTGCATGTATTGATTTGCAAATGTAGGTAATGACTTATAACAGCAGGGGGCTGGGGTGGGCTTTGTTTATTCGTGCGGGGGAGGGAGAGCTGCAAGAGAGTACTACAGTAGTCTGTGAGACCACAGATACACATGTGCTGTGTACCCTGAGAATGCGCTGTATATATTTTGTAATCAGTTTTTCTCAGTGTCTTTGGTGCATTTTTCACATAATTCTTCACATTTTAACAACAGTTTTGTGCATTTCTCAGAACAATGAGTGCAAACTGCAAAACCTCATGGATAACCTGCTAAAAAGTCACTTTCTCAAAATGAACTTAATTCCTCAAAAGAAAGTCTTCATGTCAATGAAACTGTCTGTATCTCAAAAGAATAAGTCCTGACACCAGTGTTTATGAACAACAGTCAAATGATTTAGTCATGTTTTCATTGTGACTGTATTTAGTGATACATATGCATGTACTGTATGTTCACATATTTACTGCTTATGCTCTTTGCAATTCTACAGCATTCTGCAACAAAAATAGTACACATACAGTATTTACGTAGAAAAACATACAAAAAATCATTACGGTAGAACCTCCACAACATTGAGTTGTGTGTGACATCATCGCGGCAGTTTCTCCTTTGAACACTTTACAAATGGTTTTGGACATGTATCAGTTACTTTCATACAGTTCTCTGCTGTTTTTGATAACATTAACATTTGCTTCTGTCCTGTCAATCAGAATGAAACATACTTTTCACGACTGAATAGTTTCTGTAAAACCAGTAGTCCTCATTTCATCGCTTTGGTCATCACATACAAAACTGTTCAAAACCAAAATCTGTCAAACTAATTTCATACATTACTTTATCTTTTTATATCCAGAAAATCTTTCCTAATTTCGAATTTCAGCTTCACTCATGACGAGGTGTGTGTTTTATTGTTTACATTCGTCACAGTTCTACCATAATGATATTCTGTATGTTTGCTCTATGTATGTGACTGTATTTCTGTTGCACAATGCTGTAGAAAAGAGCATATGCAGTAAATATGTGAAAGACATACAGTACACAGACATACATCGAAACACATACATGCACAAACACACACACACAGTAAATACATACATGCACAAACACACACACACATACAGTACATACAGTATAAATGTTCTTTTACTCTCACTAAATACAGTTGTGTGTAACTTTACTGTAGTTTTCAGCTGTACAGTGCTCACCAAGATCAGATTTTTTGCTTTGAAAACACAGAGAGTAAAGTGTCACAATGAAAACGTGACGAAGTCATTTGACTGTGTTGTTCATACTCCATGTTGTTAAGACTTATTATTTTGAGACAGACAGTTTCCTCGACATGAAGACTTGCTTTTGAGGAATAAACTTTTCATTTTGAGAAGGTGATGCACTTTTGCAGGTTATCCCCAAGGTTTTGCAGTTTGTACTAATTGTTCTGATAAATGCACTAACTGTCGTGCAAATGTGAAGAATTATGTGATAAATGCACCAAAGACACTGAGAAAAACTGTAAGTAGCATATTTATTTTGTAAACAATGTAAATGTATACATTGAATGACGTTGCTCGTTTGTTTTCTTTCAATTCACTTTATTATTTTCATTATTATTTTTTAACTAAAGTCAGCATGACACTAGATTTAACTCATTTTAACTAATCAGATCCTCCCTCTCCCGAAGAAGACAAAGTAAAGTGGTTGAGCAACTTCAGCTCAGCCTGTGATAATGGCCTTATTTACATAACAAAGTTGGCCGTTCACAGGTGATTTAGTTTGTTAGCTAAAATCCTTGGAGTCATTTGGCACCGTGGTGGGCTTTTTAGGTAGAAGTGCCAAATGGCACCTCCATGGGTTTGCTATAATGATGACAGATTTGGGCCCTTTAATGATGACAGATTAGGGCCCTTTAATGATGACAGATTAGGGCCCTAGAATAAACAATAGTAACGATCAATAGTAAACAGCATCTCATGGGTTTTAGGCCCTTTTACAGTCGAACTGCATCTCAACCATTTGGTAACGGTCTGTCAGTGAAAGATGTGGCAGACTGGTCAGAAAAAGTCAGGAGGCCAGTCCCTGTGCTCCTCAGAGTCCCAGCAGAAGGCCAGTCCCTGTGCTCCTCAGAGTCTCAGCAGGAGGCCAGTCCCTGTGCTCCTCAGAGTCCCAGCAGGAGGCCAGTCCCTTTGCTCCTTTGCCCAGTGTTTTAAACATCTTGAAGACCCGGGTTTGTGACTAATCCATATTAAAGAAACATATTTTGCAATAACAATAGAAAAACAGATTCTATGCTCAGTCCTTGGACCCTTCAGCCGTTCTTCTCTTCTGTCTTTCCCCAAACAGAGAAGCGGATCATCTGTGGCTGTGTTGGTGCCTGTCCAGCAGCTCGGGCTCCTGCTGGTCACATGTCCGGAGCACATGTAGTGACCGTTGGCGCTGACCCGTGGTGCGGCCTGCAGGAGGGTTCAGGACTCTCTCTGGACTGGATCTGCCGACAGCCGGACCGACAGCTTGTGCGGATCTGCCTCGAGCGCTGCAGATGCCACGTCACAGAGACTAGGAGGTGCAACTGAGCTGGGAGGAGGTGCTACGATGCTGGGACGGTCTCTCTCTGGTCTTTCTCCAGTCTATCTCTGGTCTCCCTCTGGTCTCTCTCTGGTCTCTCTCTGGTCTCTCTCTGGTCTCTCTCTGGTCTCTCTCTGGTCTCTCCTGATTCCTGATTTTAGTTGAATAAATATATGCAGTAATTTAAAGTAACATCAGTGGAAATGGCGACCTTTTAAAATCCTTGAACCAAAATGCTTTAAAAAATATATATATTTATTTATTTTAATAACAACATCTTTTATTACATTAATAACAACACATTTGTTATAAATGTAAAAACACATTTTGGGAGTGAAAAGAATAATAAAAGAGAGAAACCCCACTGCTCCCTTTAAACCAGAGAGTACTATTACTATTACTCCTTGTACTGAAACACTGTCTCTCTCACACAGACTCCTGTCAGACCGGGTCCTCCCCTGGTCCTCCTCTGGTCCTCCTCTGGTCCTCCTCTGGTCCTCCTCTGGGTCTCGGCTCCTCGGGCTCCTCGGGCTCCTCGGGGTCTGAGGGTCACCTTGGCTCCGGTCTTGTACCTGTGCTGAGCAGCGATCCATCATCCGGACCCTAGCGGTAATGGACTCATTTTTTCAGGCAGCTGTTTGTTGGTGAGACCCACAGGGACCAGGTGGGCTGCTTCCTGGTGCTGAATGAACGACCCAGAGCGAGGCAGGTCAGAGGGTCAGGGTGCCAATGACAAAGAGGGCGAAGGACCAGAGAGAGACCGGAGGCAAGTCTAGAGACCAGAGAGAGACCGGAGGCAAGACCAGAGACCAGAGAGAGACTGGAGTCAAGACCAGAGAGAGACTGGAGGCAAGACCAGAGACCAGAGAGAGACTGGAGGCAAGACCAGAGAGAGACTGGAGGCAAGACCAGCGACCAGGGTGAGACTGGAGTCAAGACCAGAGAGAGACTGGAGGCAAGACCAGAGACCAGAGAGAGACTGGAGGCAAGACCAGAGACCAGGGAGAGACTGGAGTCAAGACCAGAGAGAGACTGGAGGCAAGACCAGAGACCAGAGAGAGACTGGAGTCAAGACCAGAGAGAGACTGGAGGCAAGACCAGAGACCAGAGAGAGACTGGAGTCAAGACCAGAGAGAGACTGGAGGCAAGACCAGAGACCAGAGAGAGACTGGAGGCAAGACCAGAGACCAGAGAGAGACTGGAGGCAAGACCAGAGACCAGAGAGAGACTGGAGTCAAGACCAGAGAGAGACTGGAGGCAAGACCAGAGACCAGAGAGAGACTGGAGGCAAGACCAGAGACCAGAGAGAGACTGGAGGCAAGACCAGAGACCAGAGAGAGACTGGAGGCAAGACCAGAGACCAGAGAGAGACTGGAGGCAAGACCAGAGACCAGAGAGAGACTGGAGGCAAGACCAGAGACCAGAGAGAGACTGGAGTCAAGACCAGAGAGAGACTGGAGTTAAGACCAGAGACCAGAGAGAGACTGGAGGCCGTAGACCCAGGATCATCACTGTATAAAGACATTTATATTTTGGTTTCTTCTTTCACAAATTCACTTCGATTCATTTAAATATCTTCTTTTCCTCATCCTGAGTCACAGCAGGAGTTTTCTGCTGTGATTCTTTCAAAGCTGTCGATTCGCAGATCAGCAGATCAGAAAATCAAACCGTTCAGACACAAACATGCAAAGATGATAAACTCATTCCGGTACCATCACGGACGTGTGACGGATTTCAAATTTTGTGCGTGCAGCAACGCGTCTCCCGTTAAAAACACATGATTTTTCAAGCGGCCCTTGGCTTTAGATCACACACACACACACACACACACACACACACACACACACACACACACACACACACACACACACACACACACACACACACACACACACACACACACACACACACACACACACACACACACACACACACACACACACACACACACACACAGACACACAGACACACCAGCAGGTTTTACAGTCATTCTGGACATTGTTTTTTTTCTTTCATAAAGTCTGGCGTCTGGCTAAACCAGCGCACAGAGACTGTGAAGACAAACACATGTGATTTGTGTTGCTCTACATCAGTCTCTGTACTGTCCTCTACACTGCTCCACAGACTACACAGGGACAGCATCAGAAGGACCTGCGCACGGCCAGTGTAGATACAGCCAAATAATGTTACGCGCACATGCGCGCAGTCAACGCATACGCGCTGTTAACGCCTCCTGTGGAAATTCCCTGTCAATCCTAAATTAGGCGCAGCCTCGCGTCATACGTCCGTCATACGTGCGTATAACACTAGTGTAAATATCCACATTGGTTAACATGGCCTCCTGTGTAAATTAGCAGTCAGACTGGTCCTAGACAGGTCTTAGACTGATCCCAGACTGGTCATACTGTAGACTGATTTGAACCCCGTGCCCGGTCCAGTCTCGGTCTTGGACCCTTTGTTCTGTCTCGAGGTTAAACTGAGGCGTGTGAGAAAAGAATCATCTTCAGAGTTAAACTTATGAAGGATTTTTCTCACTTGTTTCTCACTTCTCCAGAAGCTGCGAAACAAATATCTCTGCTTTGCAAAAACAGCTTCGAAGAAAAAAGAAACTGTTGGAACTGAGGAAGAAATATCAAGATTCTGTCCTGGACGTTATCATTCTGACCTGGATCATTTTACTGTTTTTATGAAGTTTAGTTTGATTCCGGTTTCCAGTTTATATGTCTGTGTGTCTCTGTGTGTCTGTGTGTCTGTGTGTCTGTGTGTGTCTGTGTGTGTCTGTGTGTCTCTGTGTCTCTGTGTGTCTGTGTGTCTCTGTGTCTCTGTGTGTCTGTGTGTCTGTGTGTCTGTGTGTGTCTCTGTGTCTCTGTGTGTCTGTGTGTCTGTGTGTCTCTATGTGTCTGTGTGTGTCTGTGTGTGTCTGTGTGTCTGTGTGTGTCTGTGTGTCTGTGTGTGTCTCTGTGTCTCTGTGTGTCTCTGTGTGTCTGTGTGTCTCTGTGTCTCTGTGTGTCTCTGTGTGTCTGTGTGTCTCTGTGTGTCTCTGTGTGTCTGTGTGTGTCTCTGTGTGTCTCTGTGTGTGTCTGTGTGTCTCTGTGTCTGTGTGTGTCTGTGTGTCTCTGTGTGTCTCTGTGTGTCTGTGTGTCTCTGTGTCTCTGTGTGTCTGTGTGTCTCTGTGTGTCTCTGTGTGTCTGTGTGTCTCTGTGTGTCTCTGTGTGTCTGTGTGTCTCTGTGTGTCTGTGTGTCTCTGTGTGTCTCTGTGTGTCTCTGTGTGTCTGTGTGTCTCTGTGTGTGTCTGTGTGTCTCTGTATGTCTGTGTGTGTCTCTGTGTGTCTGTGTGTGTCTGTGTGTCTCTGTGTGTCTGTGTGTCTCTGTGTGTCTGTGTGTCTCTGTGTGTCTCTGTGTGTCTGTGTGTCTGTGTGTCTCTGTGTGTCTCTGTGCACTTGTTTTCAACTCCTGGTGGGTTCCATAACCTGAGATTCCACTCACGTCATGGGGACTGGTTTTACGTGGTGGGGCCCGAACACCGGACCCCACTGGTCCAAGCTTAATAATCAATGGGTAATGCTTTTCTAACGGTCCTTATGCAGTCTCTGTAAAAATATGGAAAGGACCCCTGGAGGTTTACTTTCCTGAAAAAAGTGTGTTATGTGTCGGAACCCTGGTGGTGGGTTGCGGGATATCAAGGAGGGGCACACTGGGGCAATTTCAGTCCAGCAGGCTGGAGCCAATCATGGAGCAGCACAACAGAGGAAATCAGGTGTCAGGCTAGAAAAAGGTGCAAGTGTGTGGTTCATTAGGCTGCAAGAAATCATGGAGGAGCACACTGAAGCGCACGCTTACAAACCACTGGTAAGTGCTGACTACAAGTCATGACTTCAAATTGTTATATAGAATGATTACAAATTATTTGTTGTTTGTGCAGCTTAGTCAAGAGTCCCTAATTGATGAAGTCGACTCAGATTCTGACGATTTAACTGTCAAGAAGAAACCTGTAAAAAAGTATGGAAAAAGAAAAATCAAAAACACTTTTCTTCAAGACTCGGAAAGTGACGCGAACCAAAGGCAAATAAGATTGTTATCATGCAGCTGCAAAAGAAGAGAGAAGAGAGAGAGGCTCGGTGAACTGTAAAACGAAACTCAAAATTTGTCACCTTACGAGTTTTTGTATGTGATGACCTAAGCGATGAAATGAGGACTCCTGGTTTTACAGAAACTATTCAGTCGTGAAAATAGTTCATTCTGATTGACAGGACAGAAAGCAAATGTTAATGTTATAAAACAGCAGAGAACTGTATGAAAGTAACTGATACATGTCCAAAAGCATTTGTATTGTGGATCAAGGAGAAACTGCCGCGCTGATTCCACACGACTCAATGTTTGGAGGTTCCTACCGTAGATATTTTTTTTGTATGTTTTTTCTACGTACATTACAGTATGTGTAACTATTCTTTGTTGCAGAATGCTGGGTAGAATTGCAAAGAGCCGAAGCAGTAAAAATGTGAACATACAGTACAAACATATGTATCCTAATTACAGTACACAATGATAACCATGACTAAATCATTTGACTGGCGTGTTCATAAACACAGATGTCAGGACACAGACACAGACCGTTTCATTGCCAAGAAGACTTTCTTTTGAGGAATGAAGTTCATTTGGAGAATGACCGTTTTAGCAGGTTATCCATGAGGTTTTTGCAGTTTGCACTCATTGTTTCTGAGAAATGCACTAACGGTTGTTTAAAAATGTGAACGAATATGTGAAAAATGCACCAAAGACACTGAGACAAAACTGATGACAAATTATACACGCATCTCAGGGAATCACAGCACGGCCATGCAAGCTCTTCAGCTTTGCAAGCTCTCCCTCCCCCCCCCCACCACAAGAAACAAAGCCCTACCCCAGCCCCCTGCTAGTTATAAGTCATTACCTACATTTGCAAATCAATAGACCTGCAAATGTTAGCACCAACCTAGCAAGTTAGCTCCCGTTCTCAAAACAGGGGCCAATTTCGGTTTGGGTTTGTCCTAGTGTTAAGAAGAACAGGTGCAGAGAACGTGAGCATGAGAGAGAGAACGTAGCAGAGAGAGAGAGACGTGAGCAGAGAGAGAGAACGTGAGCAGAAGAAAGAGCATAGAGAGACGTGAGCAGAGAGAAGAGACGTGAGCAGAGAGAAGAGAGCAGAGAGAACGTGAGCAGAGAGAGAGAGACGCGAGCAGAGAGAGACCGGTGAGCAGAGAGAAGAGCAGAGAGAGACGTTAGCAGAGAGAGAGAGACGCGAGCATAGAGAGAGACTGAGCTGAGAGAGAGAGACGTGACAAGAGAGAACGTGACCGAGAGAGAGAACGTAGCAGAGAGAAGAGAGACGCGAGCAGAGAGAGAGAGAGAGAGGTGAGCAAGAGAGACGTTAGCAGAGAGAGAGAGACGTGACAAGAGAGAGAAGAGAGAGGTGCAGCAGAGAGAGACGTGAAGGCAGAGAGAGAGAGACGCGAGCAGAGAGAGAGAGACGCAGCAGAGAGTGAGAAGAGACGTTAAGCAGAGAGAGCGAGACGCGAGCAAGAGAGAGAGAAGAGGTTACAGAGAGAGACGTGAGCAG